GGACTGTCTAGGGCAGGGGGAAAAAATGGACACATATGTAATACCCTTTGTAATACTTTAAGCAATAAAAAAAAAAATTAAAAATAAAATAAAAAAAAAAAACTTCCAAGTAAAAATCTATATATGGAGCAAAGGAACAGGACAAGAAGAGATTCCAAAAGGTTGCCTGATATTTTTTTCTTCTGAAATTTAGAACTGTTTTAGAGATTTTTTTCTTTTTACAGAATATGTTAGAGAGGACTTCTTGATCATTTGAAGGCTTTAAATTATGCTAAGCAGGACAGGCAGCAGCGGCAAAAACACCCGGCGGGCCGGATAAATGTTTTCGGTGGGCTGCATGTGGCCCGCGGGCCGTAGTTTGAGGACCCCAGCTCTAAGTCATACTTTCATGATAGTTTTACTGCCACTGCATTATTTACTTTACATGCTGGTGGCTGTTTTGTGGTAAATGTTATATTAATTATTAATGTCAGGAAAGAGAAGAGGAATATATTTTTTTCGTGCATATTAGATATTAAACAGTTGAGGCCTCACCCCATAACAAAGAAACAGAATTTCCGGAGGATGAGGCCCAGAAATCAGGATTTTAAAAAGAGTCCCAGGTGATTCTAATGTGCAGCCAAGGTTGAGAACCACTGCTCTAGAGCCTATACTTTTCACTTGCCGTGTCACCTCCCAAGTAACGAGCCCTGTAGGTACTTATGGTTTTAAGAAAATAAACTTTAGAACACATTGACTTCAATGATACCTTTATGTTTGTTTTTTTCAGCAGGTCTGATGCCAATGCAGCAACAAGGATTTCCTATGGTCTCTGTCATGCAGCCTAATATGCAAGGCATGATAGGAATGAACTACAACTCTCAAATATCCCAGGGACCTATTACTATGCAGGTATTTGCCTCTTTAGCTGATGGTGTACAGAATGATTGTTATGTGCTACATGCTAAGAGCTGCACATGGGACTTTACTGTCATATTTAGCATAAGTGTGGTCTACATGTTAGGTGGCTTCCTTCAAAATAAACAATGTTCATAAGAGAGAAAAAAAATAAAAGATAAATCACTTAAGGAAAATCTGCTGACTTCTCTATGATTACTAGCTTAGAAGAAATTTAGAATGATACCTTGAAAAACTCAGGGGCCTGATGCCATGAAGTAGCATTGTTAGAAGTAGTAGCACTGTTTTCGTGGAAGACACTGTGTCATTGTTTGGAAGACTCAGCCTTCTTTATATTAAGTTTTCTCATCTAAACCCCATAACTTTTCAAAGAAGTGGTATCTTCATTTTTCTGATGAAACCAACACCTTCGGAGGATGCTCACAGAGGATAGTCAGCCAGAATTTGAACGTAAGTCCTCAATAAGCTTGTACTTAGCCATATTGTACATCAAGTTCTCTCTTAAGATCATTAAGGAGCCAATAGGGTAAAGCAGTGGAATGACACAATCAGGTTTGTATTTCAAAAAGATCATTCTGACTGCCGATTGGAGAATGACTGGAGGCAGAAGAGCAAAAGAGGATATAAAGAGAAACCCTAAAAGAGTGATTGATGTACTGAGAGTCGGTGAGATGTTGGCTTTAATTAGGGTGGTAGCAGAGAGATGGAGACATGGATGTTTTTGAACACAATTTAGGAAATAAAATCAGTAAGACTTGCTGAGTGTTTGGATGTTGAGAATAAAGGAGAAGGTGGTATCAAATTGATTTATCATTTTCTACATGATGGTGGTGTCATCTTCTATATATCTATATCTATATATATAAAAGTCTAAGCCACTAGCCAACTGGCCGGTAGCTGTGATGCGCACTGACCACCAGCGGGCGGATGCTCAACACAGGAGTGGAAACCACAGGCATGGAAACATAGAACAGACTGATGAATCTCAGAGGGGGGGTGGGGAGGGCAGGAAGAGATTAACCAAAAATCTTATATGCATACTAGAGCCCTGGTACACGGATTCATACACCGGTGGGGTCCCTCGGCCTGGCCTGTGGGGATTGGGCCAAAACCAGCCCAGTGCATGGATTTGTGCACCAGTGGGGTCCCTTGACCTGGCCTGTGGGGATCCGAAACCAGCTCTCCAACATCCCCCAAGGGGTCCTAGATTGCAAGAGGGCGCAGGGCCTCGAGTTTCTTTATAAAAGAAACACTGGAGGAGATGGTTTGTTGGTACATATTATTGACTTTGGAGAACCCATGCAACTTCAAGTGGGGCTGTCCAGAGACAATTTAATAACCTGAACTCTGGTCATTTTTCACTCTGAAAATTATTTGAGAGTTATTTATCCATAGAAGGTAATTGATGATATAGGGGTGAATTGGAACATCCAAGAACACTATAGATGGAAAACGTAATCCAGGATAGAGCCTTCAGGATTTCAACATTTAAATACAAGAGAGTGAGACAAATGCCACATATTTCACTTGTATGTGGAATCTAAAGAACAAAATAAACGAGCAAAATTGAAACAGATTTATAGATAAAGTGATGGTTGCCAGAAGAGTAGGAATTGGGGGGTTAGGTGGAAAAGGTTAAGGGATTGAGAAATACAAATTGGTAGTTACAAAATACTTATTAGGATGTAAAGTACAGCATAGGGAATATAGTAATTATTGTAATAACTGTGTATGGTGTCAGGTGGGTATTGGAAATACTGGGGGGAATGCTTTGTAAAGTGTATGATTGTCTAACCAATATGCTATACACCTGAAACTAATAATAAAATAATATTGAATGTAAACTGTAATTGAAAAGTAAAATTTAAAAAACATTAAAATCAGTTGATCAGTCCGTCAATTTAAGGGAGTGAGTTGCCTTCACAGGAGATTAAAGAGGAGCAGCCACAGAAGTGGGCCAGGTGGATTAAAACAACAACAACATGGCCCTGGCTGGTTTGGCTCGGTGGATAGAGCGTTGGCCTGTGGACTGAAGGATCCCAGGTTCGATTCTAGTCAAGGGCACATGCCCGGGGCTGCTGGCTTGGTCCCCAGTTGGGGGTGTGCGGGGGCCAGCTGGTCAATGGTTCTCTCTCATCATTGATGTTTCTGTCTCTCCCCTCTCCTTTCCTGTCTGAAATCAATAAAAATATATATTTAAAAAACAAAAGAAAACAAAAAAAACCATGGGCCCAGCTGGTGTGGCTCATTGGTTGAGTGTCGACCTATGAACCAGAAGGTCACGGTTCGATTCCTGGGTCACAGTTAAGCCTGGGTTGTGGGTTCAATGCCCAGTAGGGGGCATTCAGGAAGCAACAGACCAATGATTCTCTCTTATCGATGTTTCTATCTCTCTTCCTCTCCCTTTCTCTCTGAAATCAATAAAAATATATTAAAACAACAACATGGGTTTTGATGTCAGACAGACCCAAGTTCAAACCAGGCTTTGCTATTAACCTGTTAAACAGGATGTAATAATACCTTGTTGGTATCATTGTAGAAAGGATTGAAGGAAATATATAAAGCATTTATTAGCATGTGCCCTGACCAGGAATCCAACTGTGACCTCCTGGTTCTTGGGTCCACACTCAACCACTGACCCATACCAGCCAGGCTTACAATTAGAATTTAAGTTGCAATTATTGTCATCTTGCAGTCATTTAAGCAAATAAAACTTCTCTGTTGTATGTAAAGATTTAGGAAAATTTCCAGAATCATTCTTTATTCATCTCCAGTAGGAAGAAAATAAGAACAAATTGAGCTTTTGTAGGTCTTAAATTCATGTTACTCAGCTTTCACTAGGTTATATTGTAGAAACAACAATCCCAAGATCTCAGCGACTTACAAAAACAGGTTTACTTCACATTTGTGATACATATCCTTTATAGGTTGACTCAGATCCATGGTATCTCTTCATCCTGGGACCCTTACCTAGGGCATTCCAGACTCCTGGCATAGGGAAAAGAGAGCCGAACCCTGTAGTGTCTTTTAAAGCTTTCTCTCCGAGCTAGCACGTCCAGTCACTTCTGCTCACCAGGGTAGTGTGGCCAGAAGGAGCGCATGCCCACACAGTGATGTGTAATCCTTAGAGTAATGGCAGCAAGTGACTAGACACAATCTACAGTAGACACAGTGTGTTTTAATTAAGATTTAGTAAGCTTGCAGCTAAATCTTAGGAACAGCTGATACAATTTTTAAGTTATTGACTTTAACCCTAAACATTGTTTTATGACTTACATAATTATATGAAAAAGTTTTTAAAGAGTTTGAAACAACCAAAAGAAATAAATATCTCTAACATGTAGAACACAATATAAGAAAGTAAATTATATTTTATATTCTCCAAATAATTTCCCTGGGTATCAGGAGCTTAGGATTAATAATTCCAAAATAAAGAAGCCACAGTCTTTTTCTTTAATTTTTAATCTTGTTGGAGGTATTAGGCTGCTTGGAAGCTGCTTAAAGGAGAAATTTATTCAAATCTTGTATTTTCTTCTGAGAAGCACAATAGCTCCAATCAACCATAGACATATATAAGGAAAACCCCCACTAGGGGGTGTGCAGGAGACAGCTGATCAATGTTTGTTCTCACATCAATATTTTTCTTTCTCCCTCTCCCTTCCTGTCTCTCTACAAATCAATAAAAATATTTTTTAAAAATTTATTCAAACATATTGGAAAAACATGTTTAATCTCATTTGTGGAGTAACTACTATGTAACAAGCTCTTATCTGTTGATGGAAATAAAGACTTGTAAGATAAGATACCTCTTCTCAAAGCGAATAGATCAGTGAGCTTACCAGAATTAACGTGTGTGTGTGCCTTTATGTGCTTCCATACACACACAGCCTGAAAGGTTTTACATACACACACACACACACCCCCCTTCACACCCTCAGACTATTAGCAGTGGTCACCTCTAGGGCAGTGAAGGAAATGAAGGGGGTGAAATATTAAAGGGAATTTAATATGTCATGAAAGAAATTATGGAAATTACAGTTTTTCTTTGTAATAATTAAAAGGTGAAATTGTTTTTTTGAGCCTTTGTCCGTTTCTTCTAGGCAGGGATACCAATGGGACCAATGCCAGCAGCAGGAATGCCTTACCTGGGACAAGCGCCATTCCTGGGAATGCGTCCTCCAGGCCCACAATACACTCCAGACATGCAGAAGCAGTTTGCCGAAGAGCAACAGTAAGGGACCTCAGGATTCAAGGATAAAAAATACATGATAGCAGTTATTCTAAGCTTTTCAAATGTTTTCTAATGCAGATTTGGAACCAAAACAGTCATGTTGCCTTTAAAACTTTTTAAAATACTTCTATTTTAAGTTTAAAGCCAGAAGGGACCTTAATGATTCTCTTTGTTATGGGGTGAAGCCACAACATTAGTAACAAAGAAACAGAATTTCCGGAGGATGAGGCCCAGAAATCAGGATTTTACAAAGATTCCCAGGTGATTCTAATGTGCAGCGAAAGTTGAGAACCACTGCTCTAATTCAAGCCTCTTATTTTACAGCTAGGAAAAGTGAGGACCAGAGAAATGAAGCCACTTGTGAGTCAAGGCTACGCAGTTACTAGCAGAACCTGGACCCAAATGTAGAACTGATTCCCAGACAATTGTTTTTTCTCCCATATGACATGCCTTCCCAAGTGGAAGTTTCTTCTTTATATGCCAAACGAAAACTGTTTTTATTTTGTCTATCTCCTTGTTTGTTTGTTTTATAATTGCTTTTGAATGCAAAAGATTGTCCTCCTGCCCTAGCCAATTTGACTCCATGAATGAGCGAGCGTAGGCCTGTGGGCCAAAGGGTCCTGGGTTCGATTCCGGTCAAGGGTACGTACCTTGGTTGCAGGCTTCTCCCCGGCCCTGGCCAGGGCTCATGCAAGAGCCAGTCAATCAGTGTGTTTCTCTATGTCTTTCCCGCTCTCTTCCACTCTCCCTAAAAATCAATGGAAAAATATCCTTGGGTGAGGATTAACGCACACACACACGAAAAGATTGTCCTCCCCTTGCAAATTAAAGAAGAAATAAATTCATATCTAAATTTAAGTAAATCATTTTTTAAACTCATATTTTGAAATTAATATAGTGGGGAAATAGGATTGTCAAAAGAAAATGAGAACATTAGAGAAGTTTTTAGTTCTAGAAATGTAAGATGATATTAGTAGAAATATAAATATTAACACAGGTGGTAATCCCTGAATGTTTTTCCTTCAGAAAACGATTTGAACAGCAGCAAAAGCTCTTAGAAGAAGAAAGAAAAAGGCGCCAGTTTGAAGAGCAGAAGCAAAAGCTCAGACTTCTGAGTAGCGTGAAACCCAAGGTAATAGAGCCTGCCACCCCTCCACCACAACACATACACAGCCTGCATGTGCTCTTCTACTCATTCAGTGAATTTTGCCATGTAGCAGCCCAACCTGAGGCTGTGGTTGATTCATTTTAGTTTCATTTAGTCCAAAAGTGAAGGATTTTTCTTATGTAAAGACACTATATTGTTAAGGGAAATGAGATATCAGCCAGTTTTCTCAGTCTTTTTCACTACCACTATAATGTTTGTAGTCTTTTCTAGTGAAGCATTGATACAGAATATTAATATATTAATATAACATATTAACAACTGATTAACAATATATTAATATAACATATAATATAACAACTGAATCATAAGGTATTTATAAATAGGCCTTTTAATTTAGAGTATTGTTTATGTCTTTGTTTTATACACTTATCAGTCGTCTGACTTGGAGAATTCAGTATCAGAAGTATGTGATAAAAATACTGAAAACAGACTAATATCTGTACTTCTTTTTAACTTTGGGAGTATTTAGGATGAAGTGAGAGATGAGCAAAGAAATATACATGCATTTATTATCTCTTAGATAGGAGAGAAGAGTAGAGATGATGCTTTGGAAGCCATAAAAGGAAACTTAGATGGGTTTTCCAGAGATGCTAAGATGCACCCTACTCCCGCATCGCACCCTAAGAAACCAGGTATTTTCATTTAAAGTGTTCTTTTGTGGGAAGGTGACTTATAGTCCATGTGTTTTATTGGCCATTACGTGTGTATGAAGAGCTAATGCTGAACTCTTCCTTCAAGCTAACTACAGATTTGGATGTCTTAAAATTTACAATAGGTTAAGTGTTCTGATCTGCATAATAATCTTAGGAGGAAAACCCCCCTCTCTTTCTAGTAAATGTCAGTATGACAACTTTACCTGTAAATCTTCTGTGTTTATGAGTATGTTAACATTAGTAAAATGCATTCACTCAAAGCAAATGTAATAAAGTAGTTTATTGCTTTCTTATTATTTTAAAATAATTTTGCTTTTTATGAGCTAGTTTGGATTTTATTCAGTGTGATTAAACTTTGAAAATTGTACCTGCCCCCTTTTTGAAAAGTCACGGGTTTAATAATGCTCCTCATGGAATTTTAGTTTCTTTAATATATTTCTTTGTTGTTTTTATTATCATTTATCATCAGATAAGCAGAAAAGTGCCTATTTAGAGCAGGATAAAGGGAAAGTTGTCCACCAGTACTGATCTGAGAACCCAAATTGAGATCTTAAATCCACATCGTCAGTAACCATTATTAAAAAAGACTGTCCTGACTTCAGTAAATGTTAAAGCAATTCAAAGTAGTTAAAAATATGGCAATAATAATATTGTTAATGAGCCTCATATTAAATATACGTAGTCCCTGTTAGAGAAGGTTTATTACAAGAGGATTCTCACATTTAACAGTAAAAAGCCATAGTGATGTTAGTATTCTTTAGAGCTAAAGAAAATATAGTCCTCAATCAAGATTTTCTTTCTTAAATTGTCTGTTGAGTTGTTTGACTCAGCACTTTATGGTGTCCCAATTTTGAGGCTTTTCACAAGAAAATATCACCTTGGCAATGTGTTTAATGTTCTTGTTGTCATAATTTTCACTAGAAGCCTGGTGCACGAAATTCATACACTTGCGGGGGGTCCCTCAGCCTGGCCTGCGCCCTCTTGCAGTCTAGAAGCCCTCGGGGGATGTCCGACAGTTGGACATCCTTAGCTCTGCTGCGGAAGTGGGAGAGGCTCCTGCCAACGCTGCTGCGCTCGCCAGCCATGAGCCCAGCTTCTGGCTAAGCGATGCTCCTCTTGTGGGAGTGTACTGACCACCAGGGGGCAGCTCCTGCGTTGAGTGTCTTCCCCTTGGTGGTCAGTGAGCATCGTAGTGACCGGTTGTTCCACCATTTGGTCAATTTGCATATTAGCCTTTTATTATATAGGATCCTTCACATGGTAACTTCACTGAAAAGTGAACTATTCAAAATGTATGGGTTAGACCTGCTATTTCAAAAATTATAAGTATGTATCATACATTGTTTCTTACTGACATAATGAATTTTAATCAGAGTCGATGTCTGCCCAAAATGTGTTCAGCAGCATTTGGTGGGTTTTCATATTTCTGGTATATATTAGTTTGAAAGCATATTATCCAGATAAACAGATCACTTGAGTTTCAAAAGTAATCACCACTTTGATGTAAATTATTAGTGGTCACAGGGGGAAAAATTAATACTAACTTAATAAAAGAAGGAAAGAAATTTTGACTTTTATATTTTTCTCTTTTTGAGTCAAATGTAAAATAGCTATAAATCTCTTTTTAAAAAAACAAAAAAATTGTGTAGTAATAGACATTGAAGTGTTTTGCATTCATTATAAAATTCCATTTGACTGTTAATTACATGTTATTTCTTGTTCACGTGTACTATTCATGTTTCAGTATATTCTTTTGGAATTGTACTACATCTTAATTTCTTTCTCCCTTTTGATTTTCATTTCTGTGTGTTTCGTTACCATTTTCCATTTTGCAGATTATCCCACATCATCTCATTCTAAAACTGTTTCCCCATCACCTGCCTTTCTTGATGAAGAAGAATTCAGTGACTTTATGCAGGGGCCTGTTGAACTTCCCACATGTGGGCCTTCTTCCACTTCCCAGCCTTTTCAGTCTTTCCATCCCACCACCCCACTTGGCCAGTTGCATACACAGAAGGCTGGAGCACAGCCTCTCCCTCCAGGTCAGATTCCAGTGTCTTTTGCCTTACATGGTGTCCCTGGACAAATTCCTTATTTCTCTACTGCTTCAGCCTCATACAATGTACAGAGAGCAGGTAACTCTTAGCATATTAATGAAAGTATTTTTAAGATAATCTAGGCTTATTTCTTTCTTTTATATAAGTTGAATAATACAGTGATGTTGGCAAAGAAACATGTACCTGAATATATGAGTACTGTTGAAATCGTCAAAATAAGAATCTAGATTTTTTAATTCTGGGCCTCACTTTCCAGAAAAGTGATTTAAAACTTTTGCTCTTAAATTAGGCACTATTTAAACCACCTTAGAATTTTAAGAACAGACCGATTTCTTCATAAGATTACTCTTATTTGGGAAAATCACTAATATCATTTTCTTAAGAGTAATGAGCCAGGGAAAGCTGCTTTAGAAAGTGCTCTCTCTAATTCAGTTTCTTCATTTGCTGTCCTTGGGAAAATCTTTAATACTTGTGAAATAATGGGGGTTGGGACAGTTATACACCATGGCGTGAGACATAGAGTCGTGCTGAGAGGGATCTTAGCTGAGATGTACTGAGTCCACACTTTGTCACTTAACAGAGGAGAAACAGACCCAGAGATGATGTTACTGGCCAGGGGTCTCACCAGGGGTTAGTGGAAGTGTCCATATCGTGTGTAGGTCACCAGACTTCCAAGGTAGTACTCCTTCCACTATACCATTCTATCTGCTGCCTCAGAGAATGCTTGAGAATCAAAGTAGATTTAAAATCTAAGTCTCTCAATTTCTATACAATTGTGTAGTGATCGAATTATTTAGAAATTTACATTGTATGTGGCAGGCTCTTCCCTTAAGAATCTGGGGATGGAAATGAATGATTGAAAAAATAAGAAATTTGCAGTTATATACAAATAATCCTTCATGCTGTTTGTTTAGGCCCTTCTTTGGAGGAGAAGCTCCTAGTAGCTTGTGATATAAGTACATCTGAGCAGGAACAAATTAAATTAAATACTTCTGAGGTTGGGCACAGAGCCCAAGGCCCAGGTTCCAGTAAGAACCATCTTAGTTTAACGGCCAATATCAGGGGTGCTGTGGATGGACGTGTAAGTGGTACCACTACTGCAGAGGCAGAAAAGACTTCAGACCAAAACCTGCCCATTGAAGAGAGTGGTGAGCTCATGAAATATTTAGCAAAAAGTTTATTTAACCAAATGCTGCTCAAATGCTAACACCTTAAGCATTAATCTTAAAATGAATGTTGCTTGATTTTGCTAATCAAAATTTTGCTTAAAATATATTTAATGCATTTCTTTCTCCAATTAACCCCTACGATTTTGCTCTGAATTCTTTCAATATACTGTTACTCCTTTTAAAATTTTTAAATCGGAATCATTCCTGAAATTTCTTTTATAAAAACTCTTCATTCTCCTTCTTGCACTTTGTGGTATTCTATAAAGGTTGAAAGGTTAAAATTTAACTGGAAAAGTCACCAATGAGAATATAGTTTTGCTTCTATGAAGTAAATCAGACACACTGCTCCCTAAAAGGTCAAATTTTTATAAACTCAGCTTGCAGAGATGAATTAGAATGTGGGCAACTCTGGAGGTAAACTTTTGGAGGGTATTTCACAAGACAAAATAAACAAAAATCCTATGCATCTAAGGCAGCAGTGTCATGTTCAGGTAAAAAATACAGGCTTTGTAAAGAAACATAAAAAGCTATAAAGCTTAGGCAACCACATTTTTTTTTTACATATAAAAATTTAAACCACTGATTTTTGTGGTTTTTTTCCCTTTAATTTGTAATACACGTGAAATGGTGCAAGCCTCATATGATTCAGAATATTGATTTGGTATATCTTAGGTTTCTTTTTCAATAGACTCTTTAGGACATAGTTAATGTGTAGGAGTTGTTTAGAAACCAAATATTTTAGTTGTATTGGTGACTTTTTTTTAGTGTCTCCAGCCTGTGCTCTTTTTATAAAAAAACTATGACTCTATGTGATTCCCCCATCTTCTTCGTGGACTGTTATATAGGTTAGGTAATGTTCCTTATCTTCTAGGTGTAGGTGTATTTCCCTCACAAGATCCTGTTCAGCCCAGAATGCCTCCTTGGATTTACAATGAAAGTTTGGTTCCAGGTAATAAAAGCTTCTTTGTCCAGGATTCCCATCTGGATATTTTGCTTTAAATGTTGTAAATGTAATTGTAAGTAGTTACTGTTGTGCTTACAAAGTATGCAGAAGGAATTGTAACTTTTTTCTTATTTTTTTTCTGAAAGACTTCAGAAAATTAAATAGATCTAATGTTTCTTTTTTTATATATATATATTTTATTGATTTTTTACAGAGAGGAAGGGAGAGAGATAGAGAGCCAGAAACATCGATGAGAGGGAAACATCGATCAGCTGCCTCCTGCACATCCCCTACTGGGGATATGCCCGCAACCCAGGTACATGCCCTTGACCGGAATCGAACCTGGAACCCCTCAGTCCGCAGGCCGACGCTCTATCCACTGAGCCAAACCGGTTTTGGCATATCTAATGTTTCTTAAGGCTGCTTTATATATGAAATATCTATATGAAGGAGAAATGTTTTGCTTATGTTTTATTGACCATCATATACTTTTAATTCTAAAACATTTTTGATTTATCATGCTCTAGAAGAAGTGATCAAACATTTATTTTATAGATTATTAATAACTATAAAGAATAGTACTAATATGTGTGATGCAATTTTCTGAACTCTTGGTGATTAGTTTATATTTAAAAAAATATTCCTGCACTGATTGGTTTGGCTCAGTGGATAGAGCGTCGACCTGCGGACACAAGGGCCCCAGGTTCGATTCCGGTCAAGGGCATGTACCTTGGTTGCGGGCACATCCCCAGTAGGGAGTGTGCAGGAGGCAGCTGATCAATGTTTCTCTCTCATCGATGTTTCTAACTCTCTATCCCTTCTTCTCTGTAAACAATCAATAAAATATATTAAAATATATATATATTCCTATGACATTTTTATCATGTGGTAGTATCTGATATAAAAAGACCAAGTGGCATCTTTTTCTACATTAGAAGATGTTTACATTTTTCTTTAAAACGTTATTACTGTTGAGCCAAAAAATAAATTTACTAAAGTGCACATTTTGTGATACTATTCATTTGATCCAAAGAATAGGTCTGTTTAAGCCATGGTTGATGTGCATAGAATAATGACTATTATAGCAGAATATGTTAATCAAGCATAATAAATTGTAACTTATTAAATTTGTTCTACTTTGCCAACCCCATGTAAACGAAAAGGTAGCTTTCATCAGATCTTTAGTGTTGTAGATTGGTTATAGATTGAAGTTGTAATACACTTGATTAAATAAAACTCATGCAAGATCCTGATAGCTGAACTTCCTTTTACATCATAATAACAAATTGAAAGGCTAATTTCCCAAACCAAATGGGACTTTAGTTGTACATAAAAACAATAGGTTTTCTTCCACCTTCCCATTAGACAGTTTGCATCTTTTCCTCTCCGTCTTCAAGCCAAACAAACAAAATTTGGACTTGGTATATTTTGGAGTTACATCCATTTTCTGCCAGCTTTTCTTCTTCCTTTCTCCTTCCAAACATACATGTACACATAATTTCCTAGCCAAAGTATGTGTTGTCACGGCTGGGCTATTAATTTGCAACCCATAGTTAAATCATAGATGTAAAATTTTTGCTTTAAACATTTTTCCCTATCTATCTTAGCCCTATCCACTTTCATCCCCCAAAACTCCTCCAACGAGGGTTGCCAGATTTAGCAAATAGGCATACAGAACTTCCAGTTAAATTTGAATTTCAAATAAACAGTAAAGAATTATTTAGTATACGGTAAGTATGTCCCATGCAATATTGTATCCTGTATGTTTTATGTCAACCCTTTCTCAAACAGCCTTTCTCACTTTGTCCTTTGGAAACCCTGTTTTATTGTGGAAATGTCCCCAAATAGTCCCTTTCTTTTTTCTGCTTCCTTGCCTTAACTAAAACTGTATTTTTTCTCTGAAGGCTATATTCCATAGCACCTTACCCATTGATGTTTTTTTCTCACTGCCTCTAATTCATCGTGATAGGGAAAAGGTGGTATTGGTATAATTCCCCCTTCCAACTGCTGTTTTCAAACTATTCCCACCATCATTATTCTACAACTTCTCTTTTAAAGTCCACCTCCATTTATTGTTGTTATTACCTTCTACTAAATTATAAGACATTTTCTTACCCTTAGTCCCAAATCTTCATCTCTAGGACCAAGCTCCAACCTCTCTTCTAAGCATCAGACCTTAATTATCTGCTGGATATTTCCACTTGAATATCTTTACAGCGGTTCAAACCCTGACATGGCTTTAGTTCTATTAAAGCAGTTTGACTTAAGATGATTCTCCTATAAGCAACATTGACAACAAAAAAGATCAATTAGTGGTAATATATTTATTTTTGTAATCTGGTCTTTCCTTTAATAGATGTCTATAAGAAAATCTTAGAAACCACCATGACTCCAACTGGAATAGATACTGCAAAACTTTATCCCATTCTGATGTCATCTGGACTTCCCAGGGAAACTCTTGGACAGATATGGGCCTTAGCTAATCGAACTACACCTGGCAAACTTACTAAAGAAGAACTTTATACTGTTCTCGCCATGATAGCAGTAACACAGGTAGACATTGTTTAAGTTAGATCAAATAATTTTTCAATATAAATTGGAAGAATATGAATCCTTTGTGATTACAACCTCGTAGCATTCTTTGTACATTAAAGTTTAAATTATTTTCAAGATAGTACTTCAAAAAATGTATAGTTTATATGAAGCACATACTAGAAAAATATTCCTTTGTTTAAAAACTATTTAATATATTAACATCTTCTGACCTATCTCTCTTTTGAACTTGAAAGTTAGTCAATAATAGATGAAGTTTCTCTCTGTCCTTTGAAGTGCTTGTTTAAAATTCCTCAGATATAAAGTAGTTTCCATCTGATAGTAATTTTTCTTATATTACAAAGCCATTTATAACATATCTAATCCTGATTTGATTATAGTAAATTAACCAAACTTATCAGAGAGTGAAAATGTCAGAATTGATACATGTTGGCCATTTCTTTGCTAAATATTAGATTTGCATTAACCTTATAATTTATTTTCTTGTATAAAATTCATGAGTTTTGGGAGAGTTAGGAGTGGAATCATACCAATGCTACAGATTTTACATTTTGGTCTGTCTTTGCCAGATTTAGGTTGTATGTGGTTTATAATCTGCTAAAATGTTTTCACTTTCTTCCTGTGTAGAGGGGTGTTCCTGCCATGAGTCCTGATGCTTTAAACCAGTTTCCAGTGGCTCCTGTTCCAACTTTAAGTGGCTTTCCTATGACTTTGCCTACTGCAGTGAGTCAGCCAACTGGGATGCCTTCAGGTCCCGCAGGGTCTATGCCCCTCAACCTTGGGCAGCCAGTCATGGGCATTAACCTTGTTGGGCCAGTAGGGGGAGCTACAGGCCAGGCTTCCAGTGGCTTCATGCCAACTTACCCTGCAAATCAGGTAAATGGAGAAACTGCATATTCCCAATAACCTCTGAAAGGATCTGGGCAATGTTTTTTCCAGAGATGCAAAGAGGATTGATGGATTATGATGGACTCTGGAGGTGAAGATTAAGCAAAACAATACAAAATTTAATTTTTCATTATTTAAAAAACATGAAGCAATTAGTTAAGCCTTAAGATACTTGAATTTTGGCTAAAAGTTTATAGCTCTTTATACCATATACTTTTTTTTTATACCATATACATTTTTATACCATATACATTTGCTCTCTCTTTAAATGTCCTCAAGCCTAATAAAGTTAATTAAATTCTTAGGCTGTTAAACCTGAAATTAAAATAATTCAGTTTATTTTTCATTTCTCAGATTAGCAAGAAATTTAAAAACAATATTTAGTATCAGTAAAAATGTAGGGGAAAGCCCTAACCGGTTTGGCTCAGTGGATAGAGTGTCGGCCTGCGGACTGAAGGGTCCCAGGTTCAGTTCCGGTCAGGGGCATGTACCTTAGTTGTGGACACATCCCCAGTAGGGGTGTGCAGCAGGCAGCTGATCAATGTTTCTCTCTCATTGATGTTTCTAACTCTCTATCCCTCTCCCTTCCTCTCTGTAAAAAATCAATAAAATGTATATTTTTTAAAAAATGTAGGGAAAAGGGACTATTGATACAGTCTTTTTGGCATGTGGGTTTGTTAATAGCTCTCAAGTTTCTAAATGTCTGTATCTTCTGACCTACACAGTCTTGCTGTTAGGAATCTATCTCACAGAAATAGTAACTCAAATTAGCACAGATACAAAATGATATCTGTTATAACATTGTTAGCATAAAAAATTATTAATGGCTAAATGTCCCTCAGAAAAAGAAAGGTTACATAAATTTTGGTTCATTCATACAGTGGTAAACTGTTTGATCATTAAAATGAATTAAGAGCCCTAACCGGTTTGGTTCAGTGGATATAGAGCGTCAGCCTGCGGACTGAAGGGTCCCAGGTTCGATTCCGGTCAAGGGCATGTACCTTGGTTGCGGGTACATCCCCAGTGGGGAGTGTGCAGGAGGCAGCTGATCGATGTTTCTAACTCTCTAACCCTCTCCTTTCCTCTCTGTAAAAAATCAATAAAATATATTTTTTAAAAAAATGAATTAAGATAGAACTGTATGTACTGCATTGAAAAGATGTCCATTTCATACAATTACATTTTTTAAAGTGAAGAATATAATATAAGCTCATTTTTTATAAAGCAAATGAACTGTTTATAATAAGCTTATATCACTTTTTTAAATTTACAAACACGTACAAAATGTTTTTTAAAGATGACAGGTTCTTAGTAATCTGTTAAGTGATTTAGCTGTTTAAAAATTATATAGCCGGTTTGGCTCAGTGGATAGAGCGTTGGCCTGTGGACTGAATGATCCCAGGTTTGATTCCAGTCAAGGGCATGTTCCTGGGTTGCGGTCTCGATCCCCAGTAGGGGGTGTGCAGGAGGCAGCCAATCAATGATTCTCTTTCATCAATGTTTCTATCTCTCCCTCCCTTTCTCTCTGAAATCAATAAAAATATATTTTAAAAAATTATATAGTTTATCTTTTTAAATCAGTTTTTTACGATTTGTACATTAGAGTATCTAATTTTTTAGACAAGATTCCTCCCTTAAGCACTGGAGTTGATGTTGTATCTGAAGGGTGTTCTAAAATTAGGTAGTTGTAACTAAATGCACAGATTTAAAAGATAGTCTTTGAGATTGACATTTGGAGATTTTTTATTTACTATTTTACCAGTTTAATGCTTTCTCTTTAAATGTCCTCATAAACCTAGGTGGTAAAACCAGAAGAAGACGACTTCCAAGATTTTCAAGATGCTTCTAAGTCAGGATCTCTTGATGACTCTTTCAGTGATTTCCAAGAGTTGCCTGCTTCTTCAAAATCAAATAATTCCCAGCATGGAAACAGGTACAAAAGAGTTGATTATAGTTAACATTGTATTTAATAGTTGAGAAAGAGACATCCACAATGAGAAGCCTTCGTGTAAGTAAGAGAAGTAAGACTCTTCACTCCCATGGTTTTTCTGATTAATCTCTCCTTATTCATGGTTTTACTCTTCAAACTTCTGTCCGCATTGTCCACATTAAACTTCATCCCCTACCATTTGGTCCTGGCACACACCTGCTTGCCTATATTTTATTTGCCTGTGCCACACCTGATTTATTATAGCCGAGTGCATCTGTGCACTGAGGACTTCATGTTCTTGTGTTATGACCAGGTCTTCAACTGCTGAAAAGTTTTTTAGCCTGGAGCACATCATTTGATATTTTTGCAATAAATATAATGTTGATTTTCTATGGAAATCATAATTCAGAAGATGAAATATGATTATTTACGTCTCATACTTAAGTTGAAATTAATGGCTGTTAGGCCTTCGTATTTCTCTTTGTTTGCATAGAGACAATTGCACAAACATATCTCTAATGTTTTATGTGCTAGCTTAACTATTAGTTACAGTAACTGATTCAGTATGTTCTCAACACCATTCTAACATTTTGAAAAAGTATTTAGAGACTTCTTCCACAAGTGGAACATACCAGAATTTGATTAAGCAGTGTGAATTTCTTCGGGTTTTGTTTTTTTTTGAAACTTGTTTTTGTCAGGATACATATTCCATTTCTCAAGTTTCTATTTGTGCAATTCCATTCATCTTTTCCCTTTTAACTAATTGATTATCTCTTAGTCAACATTTATTGCATATGCACTGTAACAAGAACTGAGAGATAGGCATTATAATTACAAATTAGGGGAAGAATTATTCTGATTTTAGGAATATATCAAACACATGTAAATGACATATAGAAAAAAATATATGAGGGTTGTGACTCTAAAGGACTAGGATTTCCAAGCCCACTACACCAGCATATGTGTTACTAACCTGATAGACACAGAATAATATTTCTCATTTCTCTTCCTTTGAACAAAGTGTTCTACTGCTATCTGAAAAATACCTGAATGACCCAAGGCATCTCAAAGCATCCGCATAAAATTAAATTTATTGTTTTCCTAGTTAAAGCTAAATAAAAAATTGTTAACTCATCATTTTCTTCTTTGGTAACTCATGTCACCGTATTCAGTCACCAAATCAGAAACATGTTATTTATTTTTGGCTCCCTCCTCTCTCCTTTACCACTATCAACTCTGTCAGCTCCCCTGTCATGGAAAAGGCCATGTGTGATCTTGCTCGTGCCTACTCTCTCAACTGCCGTTTCCCGGCAGCTCATACTGCAGCCATGCCAACATGACGTCAGATTCCCCATGCTCTTTCCAGCTTCTGGCCTTTTACATTCCATTTCCTTTCATCTGAAATTCTTCCCATCGTTAATTATTATTCCATTTCAAAAATTGATTTAATATAGGAAATTTTTTTTTTAAATATATTTTATTGATTTTTTACAGAGAGGAAGGGAGAGAGACAGAGAGTCAGAAACATCGATGAGAGAGAAACATCTATCAGCCGCCTCCTGCATATTCCCCACTGGGGATGTGCCCGCAACCCAGGCACATGCCCTTGACCGGAATCGAACCTGGGACCTTTCAGTCCACAGGCCGACGCTCTATCCACTGAGCCAAACCGGTTTCGGCTAATATAGGAAATTTTTACTAACCTTTTTGGATCAATCACTGCTACCAAGATGAGTTAAGAGCCTCTCTGTCTCACCCTGTCAAGGTGTACCTTATGATATCTGTGCCCTAGTTATAATTACTGGGTTACCGGACTATTTCCTTCAATAGGCTGTAAGTACCTGAAGACAATATTTCATGTCTACATATATAATACTTAGACTATGATTTGTAGTTTATTAAGGTTTGATGGATGATTATATTATATTGTAATGTGAAAGTCATAGACTAGAGTCTATCAAATTGGTGGTTCATTCCTCTGGAGGGAAAAAAACCTCTCATTAGATGAAATTAAAATTGGGGTATAGAAAGTTTTAAGATGGTGGCTACACCTGAGATATGTGGGGTATTAACAATTTTGTGTGGCATTATCTCCACATCGTAGTTGACTTTCATACACAGCCATTCTTTGCAGATTTTTCTTATTCAGTTCTGATTTGACTTTCCTTGCATGAAAACATTTTGCTCATGTCTAAGAATCCATGATCGTTGTTTACTTATTCATTCAGAAATATTTACTTAGCATCTGCTATATGCTAGACATTAGGGTAAGCACTAGATATAATAGAGAAGCCAAAAACACAGTTCTTGCTCTCAAGAAGCCTAGTTTTATCTGAGTATTTATATTAACTGATAAAACTCTCTTAGAATTGGTCCTTAAATGTGTGTGTGTGCATATAAAATGAACTCCCTAGTTTATGATAATCTGTATTCCATATTGTGAGTTTATTCTTAAAGAATATTTGTTAAATCACAATATGAATAGCTAAGCCTAGGTGAGACCACTTTGGGTGGTATTTTTAAGCAGAAAATGGGCATTTTTTTTTTTGGTCAGAGAACATAAAAAGGAAAGGAAAGTGTTAGAAGTAAGCTGGAGTGGAGAGTATTGTTAGTGGAGGAACGGGGGGGAGGGAATGACATTAGTTAAGGGCTGCACCAACTGTGGGATGACATGATTTATGGCATAATCTGTAAAACATTTTATATAGAACTAAGAAGTGGCATGATGAAAGTGATTTTTGCTGCTGTGTGTGGGATAAATTCAGCTGCCGGTGATAATCCTGCTGTGAGATGATGAGAGGTACTCTGATTTAGAGTTACAGATACTGAAAAGTGTGTATCTGAGAAATTGGTTGGACTCCATGTTGAACTGGATGTCAAAGTCAAAGGGGAAATGACCCTGAAGCTGGTGTGAAAGGGGATCTGGAAGACAGCAACATCATTCATTTATCCATTCAGAAAAAGCTTTGTGTCTGTCAGGCACTGGGGAGCCTAGTATAATAAACAAGACAAATATAGGGCTCTGATGCTAGAATAAGATTAAGGTGTAGAGGTTTTGAGTTGCTTAGTTTTATTTTGCTTTTTAAATGGGTGTATTTAGCAGGGTGAGCAAATAAGTACAATCATCTACCACAGCCATATTGGAGTGATTGTAAAGCATAAATGGAATTTTATTTTGTTTAGTTCAGTCAGCAGTATTTCAATATCCTGAAGATCCTCACTATTTTTTTTCTAATTCTGAAAATAAATTTAATTAATTGTCACATTTAATAGAAGACTTTAAAAGACCATAGCTAAAGTTACAGGTCATGAAAAACTAATAGAGCATTCAACTTTGTGTTTTATTCCTAAGGCATTAATTTACCTTTATTCCTGTGTAACATTCTGTTCAATGAGTTGTAGTTTAATTACTTATGGAATTTTTAAAAATTCACCTATAACATATAGCTGATGACCTATTTATCAAGATCAAATATGTAGCAGCTGTTTGGTAGTGAATGTGAAATTATAATATTTTATAGCACTAAGCCCTAAAGCACTGTGGATCCCCATTAATGTGTGTGTGCAAGAGCCGGGTTTCTTACTTTGCTTGGAGGCCACTGATAAGAAGATTTAAATGACTGTGGAAAGGTTTTTGCTCCAGGGCAGAGAACTCAATAGAAATTCATTTATATAACTTGCAGTGTGTTATTGAGTGACACAAACTAGTGGTGGAATATAATCATTCATATGTAAAGGTTGTTCTTCCTGGGAGCTGCCTGTGTTTGATAAGAGGGGGAAAAGAAAGCAGTGCTTTTCTAGTATGTGTTAAACTGGTCCAAGAACTACCCACATAGATACTACTCGTTACACTATTTTTCCATCCAGGGAGAAATGTGTCCACCGGCAAAAGTATCTTTATTTAATTTTGAAGTGATAGTTGTTTTACTACAAAGATAGCTACTGGAACCGCTGATGTTATCCTAGCAAAAAATGCAAATAACTCTATCGCTGCTATCAGATGTGTAAACTGCTATCAGTAAGCAACACCAGGAAGCAGCAGCATAATCAAAAGAGGAACACTTTACATCTTGGCTTGAACAGCATTTCATAAATATATTTTTATCTCAACTACTAGAGGCCCAGTGCATGAAATTTGTGCATGGGGGGGGGCGGTCCCCTCAGCCCAGCCTGCACCCTCAACAATCCAGGACCCCTTGGGGGATGTCCGACGGCCGATAGGGCCTAAACCAGCAGTTGGACATCCTTCTCACAATCGTGGACCGCTGGCTCCTAATCGCTCGCCTGCCTGCCTGGTCACCCCTCACTGCCCCCCCCCCCCCCCCGGCCTGATCGCCCCTCACTGCCTCTGCGTGCCAGTCTGATTTCCCCTAACTGCCCCCCGTGCTGGCTGGTCCCCCCCAAGTGTGCGCCCCCCCCGCCCCCCCCCGCTGGCCTGGTCACCCCACGCAGCCTGCTGTTCAGTTGTTTGGTCGTCCCTCACTACCCACCCCTGCTGGCCTGGTCTTAGGCAGCCATCTTGTGAGGGCATGAGGGTTAATTTGCATATACCTCTTTATTATATAGGATTCCACCTCTACATTTTAGAGAATAATTAATATTAAGATATTAAGATTCCCATAATTTACTTTAAAATATTGGGTATACTTATTTGGAGCAATTCACTATTATGGACCTAAAAGTTAAAATTGCAGTAGGTCATCATTCTATGATAATCTATTTCCAGTGCCATTCCAGTTGTTTTTATGACTTAAAGATGTGATTAGATGGTCAGTGTGGATCCAAAAATAATCAAGAGGAAAATTATTGGTTGGGTGTTGTTTCAGTATATTTTTTCAAGAAGGATGTTGTTTTTAATCATTTGTAGCATATCTATATTTTTAACTTTTAAAGCAGGGAGTCATGTGTTTTAGTTACTACTTGCCATTTTAATTCTAATCTCCTACTGGAGAAGGAAAGGATTTAGTGTTCTAGTCATTAAGCAGTATTTTTTCCCCTTTCAGTGCCCCTTTGTTGATACCACTTTCTGGAACTAAAGCATCAGCTTCAATGGATAAATATGCTGTGTTTAAAGGGATTGCAGCTGACAAGTCCTCTGAAAATACTGTCCCATTTGGAGGTAAAAATAGTTTGTGAATTCATAAACCTGTGAATGTGAATCTTTGTTTATAGTGGTGGCCTTTTTAAAATATATATATATATATATATTTTATTGATTTCAGAGAGGAAGGGAGAGAGAGAGAGAGAGAGAGAGACACCAATGACAAGAAACAATCATTGACCAGCTGTCTCCCGCACCCCCACCCCCACCCCCCGCCGCCACCCCCACCCACAAGAGATCGAGCCCGCAACCCAGGCATGTGCCCTGATCAGGAATCGAACTATGACCTCCTGGTTCATAGGTTGATGCTCAACCACTGAGCCACGCTGGCCGAGCCTTAGTGGTGGCTTTTTATGGTAAATGTGTAAAACGCCTATACCACGTGTTAAGTATGTTTGGCTAACCCAATCTGCCTTATTTTCTTGAGTTGTGATCTCAAAGTTGCTAACCTACTTGAGTTTCTGTCTTTTTAATCATAGAGTCTGGTGATAAATACAGTGCTTTCAGAGAACTTGAACAGACAGCAGAGAATAAATCTTCAGGTAAGTTTTGGATTCCTTAAATGAATAAATTGTTTCAATTTCTAATAAAAGAGATCTTTGAACGTTCTTCTTTTTTTTTTTTTTTTTAATATATTTTATTTTCTTACAGAGAGGAAGGGAGAGGGATAGAGAATTAGAAACATCGATCAGCTGCCTCCTGCACATTCCCTACTGGGGATGTGCCCACAACCAAGGTACATGCCCTTGACCGGAATCGAACCCGGGACCCTTGAGTCCGCAGGCTGACGCTCTATCCACTGAGCCAAACCAGTTAGGGCTAAATGTTCTCTCAATGGCACTTAATGCCTTTATTGTGTAGGAGTTGTTTTTTCCTTTTTTTTTTTCCTGTGTGTCTGGAAATTATAAGGAAGCAAAATGTGGTTCAGTTATTGGAAATTATTTTCTAAAATTTAGGGGAAACCCCAAATCAATGCAGTTTCCTCTAGAGATAGTGCATTTCCTCTCTCCAGAAGCTGTCAAGCCATGTTAGAATCCTGTATCAAATGGAGGGCTCTGACCAATTTTGGTTATTTTAATGTCCCACAAGACTTAAACTGTGGGCTGTATAGAAGGCAGCAACCAGTCTTTTACTTTTCAAGATTTTCAAAATTGGTTATTCCCATCTGATAATAGACAAACATGGTAATTGACCACACCTTCGCTACGCCTCCCATTGGCTAATCAGCGTGATATGCAAATTAACCACCAACAAATATGACAGCTAATTTGCATACTGCAGGCAGATCCTGCTGTGCCACCCCACCTGGGGCTGGCAACAGCATGATCCCCAGCCACTGGCCGCCCCAGCGCGAGATCCGGGCCAGCCGTGTGCAGGGCAGGGCAGGGCAGGCGGTAGCACAATCTGAGCAGCCGCCCGACCTAGTGTGGGATCCGGGCCTGCCATGTGCGGCCCAGGGCGGGGGGGTGGTGGGCGGCAGCGTGATCCCCAGCCACCGCCCACCCCAGCGCAGGATCCAGGCCTGCCTCTGCAACAATGGTAGATGGGGCAGACACCGCGGGATTGGGCATGCCATCTGCCACCAGGGGAGCAGGCCTAAGCCAGCAGGTGGTTATCTCCTGAGGGGTCCCAGACTGTGAGAGGGCACAGGTTGGGTACACAAATTTTTGTGTACCGGGCTTCTAGTAATTTAATAAAATGAAATGAAAGGGCTTTCTGTGCATATGTGTTCTCCATGTCTGATAGAAGGGTTAAGTAGAGTAGAAAAGAATATAGAATGATATGCCCTGGTGGCTCAGTTGGTTGGAGCATTGTCCCATACACCGAAAGGTTGCAGGTTCGATTCCTGGTCAGGGCACATACCTAGGTTGTGAGTTTGATTCTCTGTCGGGGTGCATACAGGAGGCATTTTATTGATGTTTTTCTCTCACACCAATGTTCCTCCCTCCCTCCCTCTTTTTCCCTCCCCACTTCCTCTCTTAAATCAATAAACATATCCAGTAAACATATCCTCTGGTGAGGGTAAAAAACAACAACAGTAAAATGATAATGTGAGAGCCATGTATGTAAAGGGTAAAAATTAGGTTTGTGATTAAATTCTACTGTAAACCTGATATGTCGGGTTTAGATCATCTATATGCCAAATTATGTCCTTCAAAGCTTAACTGTGCATGCTATGAAATTTGTATACTCTGTTGAGGATTTTTTCCTGGGAACAGTACCACATTCTACTTTTTTGTACTGAATGCACAAATTTGGAATATCCTTCAACAATCACTTGTTCTCACCCTTCTGCCCAGGGCAGCGGTCGCCAAACTTTCGGACTTCACAGATGGTCCGCTGACCACTGGTTGGTAACCGCTGACCTAGGGGATGGGAGGAGAATATAGGAAAGGTGAGTGAGTATATATGAAACTTAGAGTAGAAAGTGTACTGCTTAAATATCTAAAAAGGGAATCTCACCTTTTCTAAAAATACTCAATCCTTGACAATTCTTATATGCTAGAAATGTTCCCTTGTGTTTCAGCCAGGCCTTTAGGGTGTAATCACTATGTCTTCCTCCTTGCCTGTGTTAGGTACTAGGAGTACAATGATAAGCCCTAGAGGAGCTTTTGGCTTGTTAATTTGTCATTTACTCCTAGCAATGCTTTCATCAACTCCTGGGCCAAGGCAAGTGTGGAGTAAAGAGCATGGTTTAGTACCAGGGGTCTTTGTATAGTATGGTATTAATGATCGAGTGTATGTATGTTATTTCTGGGAAAGACAGTGGTGCCACCTAAATGTCCTTAGTCCTGCTTTTATGACACTTTATTAACAGAATTCTAGATTGTTGTTGCCATTTTTGTATACTTGGCTTTCATTCCTTTCTTAACTTTAACTCTATAGCCTTCCAAGCAGAAATGCCAACTTTGTTCATTTTAGGACATATTTTATTCTACTTGCATTAAAAATACATTGGCCTTACAAAGTATGTGAATATCTTAGAATTTATGAAGACTCTTATGGTATTATGTTCAGAGCTGTGGGTTTGTTAGGTTACTAAATGACAGTTTAATAATATTTCCTTTTTTCTACCCTACAGTTTAAAACATAATTAAAGTTAATGAGGAAAATATTTTATGTAGCTAAGTGACACTGAAGTTTTAATAAAAAGCGGTCTCTTTTGAAATGTTTTTAGGGCCTATAAAGTAACAACTAGAGAGGGAAACTTATGAGGATTCAGAAGTTAACTGAAAAGCTACCCATGAAGTAATATGCTTAATGGAACTTCTGATATGCAAACTTCAAATGACTGTAACTAAATTATTTGCCTCCAAAACCCCTTTGTTTTTGAACTTGTAAACCTACCCATTTTTACTTCTTTTTTTTTTCCATTTTAATTTCTTTTTAACCTTTTCACTCAGCTTACATTTCTAATGGAAAAGTTTACAATTCATCAGTAAGTTTAGTTTGCTGTGGTTATTTCTTTTTAAAAATGACGAAGCAAAACTTGTCAATTTCACAGATATTTCAAAGCAGCACCTCAAAAATTTTGGCTGTGACAAAATTAGCTGCTTATTACCTTTTCATTTATAGAAATAATGCAAATATTGTCAGTGATATACTTGCCTAACGTACTAGGGTGATTTTTTAAAAAGTTTTACATCTGCTTCTCCTGTCAGTTTGTGAAATTGACTATAGTTTTATTGGTCTTATGTTTTACAAACATAAAATAGAGGAATTCTGAATGTTTTTCCTCTCTTTCTAAAGTTTTCCTAATACTATTAAATAGATTTCTCTATGTTGATGAATTATGCTGGTGAATTGGTTTAAGTAGCTCAGATTAGGAGGAAGCAATCTGCTTCTATTATTTTCCATGCTTTTTTTATGATATGTCAACATATATATCACTTTACATGCACAATATATTTAAAGCCTGTATTAATGACAATTTTAAGAATTGAATTTTAGTTTTAAATACATTTTTATAGTTCATATGCTTTTATATTTTATTTTTAGGGAAAATATAATTTAAAAAGTGGATGAGGAAATTAAAGCTCATATTTTGATTTATAACTCTCTGACACTTATATTTTTAAACAGGTGATGTTGGTATAGCTATAATTATATTTGGTTTATCTCTGGTTTTCATTACCTGGTATTACCTAGTGCAGTGGTTCTCAACCTTCCTAATGCCGCTACCCTTTAATACAGTTCCTCATGTTGTGGTGACCCCCAATTTCATTGTTACAAATTGAACATAATTAAAGCATAGTGATTAATCACAAAAACAATATGTAATTATATATGTGTTTTCCAATGGTCTTAGGCGACCCCTGTGAAAGAGTCGTTCAACCCCCAAAGGGGTCGCGACCCACAGGTTGAGAACCGCTGACCTAGTGGATTTTATGGAAGACCTTCAGACACTAATAGAAAACTAAGATCATTTGCATCCCAACCTCATACCTATGAGTGATAACATTACTATGATAATAAAGAATAGAAAACCTAATAAGAATCGTGGCTCCAGATTTTTATCAGTATCTTAACTGAGTCTATTTAAATATTTATGAGAAATACATTAGTACAGCGGTTCTCAACCTGTGGGTCGCGACCCCTTTGGCGGTCAAACGACCCTTTCACAGGGGTCGCCTAAGACCATCCTGCATATCAGATATTTACATGACGATTCATAACAGTAGCAACATTACAGTTATGAAGTAGCAACGAAAATAATTTTATGGTTGGGTCACAACATGAAGAACTGTCTTTAAAGGGCCAGAAGGTTGAGAACCACTGCATTAGTACCTATTTTCTCTGACTAAAAAATTAATGAAAAATTCTGTCAGAACCCCATCCTCAGAGTAGCACAGTATAAGCTTAAATCATATCCTTTGAAAGTTTTAATAGTAGAGTTAGTGCGTATTCAAATCCCTTTGAATTTTAATAAATAAACCGTCAGTGAGATGGCTGATTTCAAGGAAAACCCAAGTACTGACAGGTTTGGATTTGTTAGATAGTATAGGGAGAAGCTGCTTTACAGTGTGCCCTGGGCCAGAATGCTTTGCAAATAAGTAGATACCTTTTCAAAAATTTTCATCAGAGTTGCCTTTAAATTAATGTTTCCATATACTGGAGCAAGACCACCTAGTATGTCAAGTTAAAGTGGTGTTCATCCTAAGTTTAGATGCAGGGTTGTTTTTTGTTTTTGTTTTTCATAATATCCCATTGGTACCTGTGATATATTTTTCCTGATTGATCACCATGTAACACATTTTATATTTAAAGGGCAATATTTTATTATAACTCTCTTCAGCAACAACTATTTTTTTAATATATTTTTATTGACTTCAGAGAGGAAGGGAGAGGAAGAAAGAGATAGAAACATTAATGATGAGAGAGAATCATTGATTGGCTGCCTCCTGCACACCCCCCACTGGGGATCGAGCCCACAACCCAGGCATGTGCCCTTGACCAGAATCAAACCTGGGACCCTTCAGTCCGCAGGCCGACACTATCCACTGAGCCAAACCAGCTAGGGCCAGCAATGATTTTTTATTCTGTTATACCCTTGGCTGGCCATTCAGTGCGAAAAAGTTCTGCAAGCAGTGCTTTTGGCCAGCTGAAGGATCTGGTACCAGGAGACTTCTCTCACTAAAAGGGAGCAAATGAAAAGAATACTGTTTGGTGCTCTCGGTTTGATTTTTTTATCACTAGCCTTCAGTGTGGAAACAAATATGTAGTTCCTAAAGGAATATTTGGTACGGTTTAAACTGTAGTTAAATTATGTCAGTCCAGTAAGGGAAAACTTTATAAAAGTATGCTTGTCGTATTTTAAAATATGTATTTTTATTGATTTCAGAGAGGAAGGGAGAGGGAGAGAGAGATAGAAACATCAATGATGAGAGAGAATCATTGATTGGCTGCCTCCTGCATACCTCACACTGGGAGATGGAACCTGCAACCCAGGCATGTGCCCTGACCGGGAATTGAACCATGACCTCCTGGTTCATAGGTTGATGCTCAACCACTGAGCCATGCCAGCCGGCAAAGTATGCTTGTCATGTAATATGCTGTGCATCATATTGTTTTCAACTCTCTTATTTCGCTGTTGTTTTTTCTTCCAGGAGAAAACTTTGCAGAATTCAGATCTGCAGGGACTGATGATGGTTTCACCGATTTTAAAACTGCCGGTAGTATATCACCCCTAGAGCCACCAACAAAAGACAAAACTTTTCCAGCAGCCTTCCCCTCAGGAGCTATACAACAGAAACAACAAACTCAAGTGAAAAATCCTCTGAACTTAGCAGACTTAGATATGTTTTCCTCAGTTACTAGCAGCAGCGAGAAACCATTGTCTTTTTCAGCCGCATTTAGTACATCAAAATCTGTTTCTACACGACCACAGGCAGGACCTGCTGCGGCCACAGCAGCATTGGCGTCAACTAAATCTTGTAGTTTGGCTGATGATTTTGGAGAATTCAACCTTTTTGGGGAATATTCTAGTCCAGCATCTGTTGGGGAGCAGGATGACTTTGCAGATTTTATGGCTTTCAGTAATAGCTCTGTTTCATCTGAGCAAAAGACAGATGACAAATATGATGCCCTCAAAGAGGAAGTTAATCCTGTTCCTCTGACCAGCAGCTCGAGCAACACAGTGAAGAGTGGACAGAACTCTGCTGCTGCGTCCACCAAATATGATGTCTTCAAACAGCTTTCTCTGGAAGGCTCTGGACTAGGTGACGAACTGAGAGAGAACCCTCCTTCAGGAAAAAGTGACGATGATTTTGCCGACTTCCACTCCAATAAATTTTCTTCCATGAACTCAGACAAATCCCTGGGAGAGAAAGCAGTGGCTTTCAGACACACCAAAGAAGACTCTGCTTCAGTGAAGTCCTTGGATCTCCCTTCCATTGGTGGCAGCAGTGTTGGCAAGGAGGACTCTGAAGATGCACTCTCTGTTCAGTTTGACATGAAACTGGCTGATGTGGGAGGAGATCTTAAGCATGTCATGTCTGATAGCTCTTTGGATTTACCAACAGTTAGTGGCCAGCATCCTCCTGCTGCAGGTGAGGAATTGGTGAGATTGCTCTGGTGATGGTGATGTAGATTTCAAAGATGGTTCTGTGGGTGTTGATTTACAGACAGTAAGTCTCTGGCTCTTAACCTTTATGAATTTCTAATAACCTCCTAGTTACCAGTCCCCATAAGCAATGTTAAATTTGAATCTAGGAATACTTGGGTATAATGGATACCCTGAATACTATGGAACTTAGATTGGATAAATGTTTTTATTTTTGAAATCTAACACCAACTTGGTGTTAGAGGCACATAAAAATCCACTGCTAAATGAACCCCACATTGCCAAAAGTTTTTGTAGAAATTT